ATCAGACGTTGCTGATCAGGAGGGATTCCCTCCTTGTCCTGAATCTTGGCCTTGACATTGTCGATGGTGTCACTGGCCTCCACATCCAGGGTGATAGTCTTGCCAGTCAGGGTCTTCACGAAGATCTGCATGGCTTTTTCTCTGATCGAATTTCTTTCAAAAGCTTAAACATACAACCTCTTGCGAGGACTTCTTAGGATTGACTTGTTCTGAGCCGGCAAGATTGGCAAGCAAACTCAAGTCGGTGACTGATCATTGACCATCTTCCATACTTTCAATACATGAATCAATCAAAGAAACTTCACATCCACAATCCTCCCTCTTCCGCATACAATGATCTCTCTCCGAGACATGCCCGAAAAAGAAAGGGCTACCAGGCAGGGCTATAGCCGTCGCTCCCACCATCCCCACAAGACGATGTCTGAGCCGAGCCGACCTCCAGAAGCTCCTCCAGCTGGCTGCGGCTCACCAGCGCGGCCGCTCGAGGCCGACTGAGGAGTTGGTGCCGACACAGCAGGCCTGGCGGAGGCTACTCCGCACGGGGTCCACGTTCCGAAAAAGGCTGTAGAGCCTTCCGGACGATTTCTGGTATGCCTTGGCTGGGTTCCGGTGCTTGTTCCAATGGGAAGTATAGACTAATTGGTTGTTCTCCAAACAAAAATCGCTGCTCAAGGCGGCCAAAATAGGTCCCCCCCAAATGATCCACACCCAAAACGAAGCAAACATAGATACCTGATACCTCTTTCAACCCCAATGGGGATTGCCGAGTAGATGTGAGATGTGACGCATGATACCAGCATGCCATGGCTGGAAATGGACCATCGTTCCAGCCATGCCCAGCCTCCCAAAAGTGTCAACGGCTTAACTCTTGGAGTCGTCGCCTGGCATCACTCGCTCGGCTCGAAAGAGTTGAAAGTTTCCATTTCGAACCCAAGCATGTCACCTGTGCAGCACTAGACGTAGTCTTTGAGTGTTCAATGGAGCAAAGCCGTAGGACAAATGTGCGACTCGAACGCAGTGGTATTCACCCTTGAGTGCATCCAAAGTTATACAGTAGTTTTTTGTTGAAGACACTGATGAACACCGAATGCAAAAGAATCTGAAACATTCTGAAACCATACCCAACACTGAGATCACACCATTTTGAGAACGATCTGAAACCATCCAATTTTAAAGCTTCTCCGAATCCAGCCTCTTTCACATCAGATGGCACTTCCAGCCCCGATGCTTCTACCGCCACCTCATCATCGGATGCCTGGCCGATGAGATGCGCAGCACACCGTCGTCGAAAAACCCTTCCCTCTTCACCTCCAAGACTCTCCAATCCACCTCGAAGATGAAAACCAACCTGCGTGTGACCTGTAGATATGATCTCTAGAAACAACGGTTGATCCGTAGATATGGTTGTGGGATGCTGTGGGTCATGGCACCAGGATACTTCTCTTGGTTGACCTACCGTGCCGGCCATTCTTCGCGTGGCAAATGGACCAGGATGGACCAGGGTGGACCAGCTTGAACGACCCATCCCCAAATGATCAACGTGCCTCAGGTGCATCTGCCGCGCCGCCCTCTGGCCTAAGGGATCGGCGATCGACCGGACAGGAAAGAGTAACAAGCTAACAAACAATCGAATCAATGAACGAACGCATGAATCAATCAATCCCGAACAGTCATTTATACCACTACTTGGTTTGCACACCTTTTGGACATTTGAGCTCTTTTGATGAAATGTGTGCTTCTTGGGTTTTTGAAGGGGGTTGAGCGTTCTTTTTTGTAATGCTGAAGACTCAAGTTGTCTTGGGTCAAAAGGTAGAAACATGTAGAAACCTTTTCTCAAAATGTGCGAGATTTGAAAGGTGGCGAACCACACCAAAATAGGTTGGAAATGAAAGGACTCCTTTCATTTTGTTTGTGATTGTAGCGCCTTTTGCTTGAATGAGCACATTCTGAAATGTGTTTCTTTTTAGTGAAGGAGGGTTCAGGATTAATTACACACTGCATGAATGAATGAATGAATGAATGAATGAATGAATGAATGAATCACCCACTCCATCCGTCACTTGCTTTATCCATGGTGTGAAGTTCTGAACATATCCCAGAAGGCTCACCATGCGAAGTCATTCTGCCTTACCGCTGCATACCCTGAGCCCATGACGAAATCCCGAAGCGGTACTCATGCACCTGGTGAAGTTCAAGTTTGGAATCGAACATATATCATATATCGTGTTCATTCATTTCCCCTCATCCTCCAAGAGTCAGATTGACCATTCCTGACATCTTAAAGCTTGTGATGTTTTTTTGAAGCCGACCAGGAGCTTTCTCCAGCGCAAACTCAATTCCACCAGCCTAGCCTCTCGTTTGCAACTCATCATCAACCAAGTCAATTCCCAAAAGAGGATTCCTCTAGAATGGCCTCTTGCACAAAGCATCGCCAAAGTTGTCTCCTCGGTCGAAGAAGGATTTGGGACATGGCCCACTGAAAATCATCAAAAGGCGAGACCGAAGAGGGTCATCCAAAACCAACCAGGCTTGTCGGATCTTGTCAGTCAAACTTTCTGGGGTCTCTTATGGAATGTTTATCTATACACAACAGTAAATATCCATCAACTGAGGTACGTGGACCCCAAAATGCCATCTACATGGCTACTTTAAGACCCCCCCAGTTTCTTTGAAGTGTGTGCTCTGAGCGCCCGGCAGTGATGCTGTGGAGCTTGTGTCGCCCACCACCTGCATGCGTTCAGAAATTCAGCCAAACCTGAGATGCCAAAGTCTTCAGTGAATGACATGAATGGTCTTCCACGTTCCTGACACGTCACTCAAACACCGCGGCACATGATTCTCCTGCACTTCCGGGCGTGATCGCCCAGATCGTCCGGACCATCCGCGCCACCCCCCCGTCGGTCGGCGTTTTCGTCGGCAGCACCTTCTTCCATTGATTCAATTGTCGGATGGAGATCCAAACCTGATGAAGCTTCCAAGGTCAATTACGGACTTGTAGCCAACATGAGCAATTACATAAGTCATCTCATCAATAATTGTATATGGGTTTCACATGGTTTCACAGCGCCTTGTATCTCATGGCATTGCTGGGCGTCCCCACGGCAAAGCCTTGTTCGGAGCTCTCCACCGCTCGCACATCTGTGACACTAAACCTGGCACGACCGCCGACACTGTCGGGTCGCCATGCGACACTTGTTCTTGGTGTTCATGAACATAAACTGAAACGACATCCAGCCATCAAGAAAAATACTGTACGAGTTTGTTTGTTTTGAGGCAATAAAAGCACCCTGGTCATGAACATGAGCTCTTGGCTACTTTGACAAAATCTCAATTTATTAACTGTTGGATCCACCACGGACATAAGTCTTCTAACTTTATTTGCAGTTTTTAATATGTGGGCGTGGCAAGGAAATCAATGTCATGCAGCCAAACCCGATCCGCTCGCCGGTTTTACATCGGGTGCGAAACCACGAAACCGGAGTTCTGCAGCCATGGTGGGGATGCTCACATCACTGAGCCACGACTTCCGGTGATACTGGTAGTAGCTTCTTGTTGCTAGTAGTAATACCAGGAGCTACTAGTAGCAAGTCCTCCAACTAAGAGCGTGGCCTCCAAGCCCAAAGCCACAAGGCTAGCGGTCGAAAAAACAGAAAACTGGGCATGACACAAGAATAGAGAACCCAAAGTTGGCGATTAAATACCTTTCATATTTAGTGGATGCGATCATTGATGCAAACAAACTACAACTTGAAACACAGTGAGCCTCGATGAGCCTCGGATCCTCCGTCCAATGTGATAGCCTATGCTTCATGATGCTTCTCCAGCGCGCCCCTTTCTCAGTGCCTGTTGCTCTGGAGCACCCCTTTCAGGTGAAATTCTTTGCGGAAGTGCCTGGGCCACCGCTGGGCTGTCTCTTGCAGATTCTCAGGAACAGAAACAAGTGGTGGCCAAAGAGACATTGAGTTTGAGTTCTTGTGACAAACCTCAAAGAAGTCTTGTTTAGAAAAAACACCTACTGAAACACTGGGTGAGCTGATTGAAGCCAGCCTGCACAGAACTTCCAGTAAATCTACGAAATCCGCAAAAGAACAAAGCACTTCGCATGAAGCCCGTGTCTAAACATGGTGGCAACTTGCCATGCCTTGCCCACAATCATAAACCCGCATCATCGCTGCCAGCATCATCCTCCATCATCAAATCTCCGACCAACATCCTCATCCCTTTCAAATCGCTTGAAGCAGTGGTGCATTCTGTTCCACACATCATTTCACCTTCTCACCAAGCTGCTCGAAGGCTTTGAAAACCAGCGTGGCCACCTGCCCCGTGGCCACCGACCGGCCACGTGGTTGTTTTGTTCGTCGATGCCAAACTCGAAGCGGGACTTCAATCCGAAGATATTGCAAGCATGTCATGAACACCAAGGGAAACAGCACATATCCTAGAGGGAAACAATTATCTCAAAGAAAATCACACAAACAACCAAACCTTCACAAAGCAGTCCGCTTGCCTCCTCATTCATGGCGGCTTCTGCTCGCAGGAAGGTGGAGGAATCTAACCCTCCAAATTGGCCTCCCACCTGGCTACCGCAATCTTTGATTTCCCTTTGACTGCGGTCTCTGTCAATTCTATGAACATACAAAAATATACAATTCATTGTCTTCCCCAGGCCCTAGGCCCTATCCATGTCATTCCATGTCCTTTGTGCAGAGCAAATACCTGCGGGCCATCGCTCTCCCCTTTGGTACCTAGGCTTTACCTGCCGCAGTTCTCCACAGCTCAGGGCTGCACCTGCTCCAAAGCAGCCGTGGGCAGCAGTTTCACCTCCGCGGTTTTGGGCACCAAAACTCTTTGGGCATGAGTGAGTGCTGTCAAAGTCAAGCGTCGCCCCCAGACTTCCAGCAACAAGAAGCTACTAGTAGCTAAGGGCATTACTAGTAGTAGCAAGAAGCTACTAGTACCAAGGGCCTTACTACTACTAGCAACAAGTCTTCCCTTTTTTCTTGTCTTTTGTGCCGCCTTTTGTTACTTGCATTTGGTATGGGAAACCAGCCACGCAGCAGGAGCAACCGAGCGCCACGGAGCCGTCGGAGCCGTCGGAGCCGCACCTCGCCACACCAAACGGCCAAGGGATCGAGGGCATGGCCCGTCCTGGCAAATTCGTTCTGAGAAGAAATCGGGCTCCAGACACCCTATTGGTGATGTATATCACATGTTGAAAATGGCATCAACTTAAATGAATTTAGAGGATGCCCATGAGGTCCATCAGTTTATTCTGGATGTTCACCCTGAGGTTTCATGTCCCTTTTTCTTGCCATACAGACGGAGCTTACGCGGCCAGAGCACTGCGCGACGCGCGATTGAGATCAACTCAGCTTCGGCTTCGGAGGTCCTTCCCTGGATCAAGGACGAAGAGTAGATGGGTGGCTGAATCTGGGCTGCGAACCGATGGCCCCACAAAGACGGGAACCTCTTGTGTTTTTTGTTCCGCAAAGAGTGGAGTTATAGTTGGCAGGGTAGTCTTCAAGGTAACTATTCTTCATGTCGTTTTTGCTTTTCGAGGCAACTATAGACTATAGATTCTAAAGGTTTATCCTTTCTTGACTCACCACAAGCCACAACGGAAACATAATTTTAGAGAACTCTCCTGCCGAAGTCACGGAGAATATGCCAAAAACAATTTTGTACGCTGAGGGTGACAAGTGGTGTAGGAAGAAAGGCTTTGTCATGATTTTTCTGAGATCCACATCCAAAAGGAAAATGGACTGGCGAGTGCCCTAGTTTTGTCAAACATATCTTCAAGGACATTGAACACTTTGCCCATTCGAGAAGGAGATAAAGACACCGGGGTTTTCGAAAATCAGATTGTGGGAATGATGCTGTCAGGCAAGAAGCACCTGGTCTCTTCACGTTCGTGTCCCCGTCACCCGTCAGGATCCCGTCGTTCCGCCCTCCGAGCGACGGAGGCATCGCCCTCCAAGATGTTCTGCAGAGTCCGATCTTCGCCTCGCAGGAACCTGGCGGTTTTCGGAATCCAACCGCGAGCCGCATCAAGCCGCATCAAGCCGCCATGTCCAAGACGTCTTTGAAAGAGGACTGTTTCATCTCGTTCGATCATTTTCGGGTTTTATGTTTGTTCTTCTTCGGAGGTCTTGTCCTGTCTGCTGTGTCAAGCCCATGGTCCGTCAGTCCTCGGCTGTATCTTGAGTGGGTCAAACACCTACGGCCAAAAACAACATGAGACGCCCGGCCATCCATTGAATTGAGTGTGGCAAGAACCTGGTAGAAACACCCCTTTGCACTACCAGTGCACTGCATCGTGAGGAAATCTGTCAGGAATTGGCAAGAGGCTCAGCCTGGGCTCTGTTGAAACCCCTGGGCTCTGGCTGGTGAATCAAAAACTATCATGGCCCTGGCTGTATGGCCCACAGACTGATCACCGAGACTGGTGATCACCCTTCACCTAGCCTGGATCATGGCCACCCTCCATCAGGTTCTGCCCCACCTTTCCAGCCATGGGCTCGGTACGAGGTTCAGATCAGATGAGCTACCTGGGACGAGGCACCGGGGAACGTTGTGACTTGAGTACTCTATTTGATGAGTTGGTTGGATTCTGTTGGATTTGGGGTACCAAAAGAGTAATTTGGCATCTTTATACAGAATGTTTGCCTATGTTTGTTACTTACATCTAATTACTATCTACAGTTCATTTACTACTCGTTGATCTTGCTTTTCCTGCTTTGCAAAGTCCAAGCATCCTCGTTTGACCTTGGAGTTAATTCGAAGTGTTTCGCCGAGCCAAATCGGGAACCCTTGCTGTCGAGTCCCCATGAATTGCCGCTCCGCATGGTTCGGCGAACAAACGCAACCAGTGAACCACCGGTGGACCAGCCCTGCACCCCGGCGCCTTGCGACGGATGCAAGGCTCGCAAGGCCTCGGCCAAACCTGGGCGATGGTCCAGGTCTGGCTTTCATGGTTCAAACCCATTCCCATGGTATTTGGGGTGTGGGGCGGGGCGAAGAATCTTTAAAAATTCGTACCTCCTCAATGTTCACACCCACAAAAATATGGCATGACTTCATAGCCATATATGCATGACATATTATCATATGCTGTAACAATTAACCCAACAGACTCGCCCAGTCGACGTGCCATGACCAAACTCCGCAGCCGTCCTGAAACTTCACAAGATTTCTCAAAAGCTGCTAGCCCATCAAGAACTTCATACAGATATACAGTAAGCACTCGAGATTTTTGATATCTGCAGATCATGGAAACTGAAGTTGAACTGAACTGGTTGGTGACTTCAGATTCTACTCAGCCACATCCTTCCGACTCCTGAGGTCCACTGCACATCACGGCTCGGCGCCGTTCCCCCACAAAGCGCTCGACCGCCTGAGCTGAGTTGTTGGAAAATCGCAGAAGTTCCATAAGACCAAACACACTAAACAAGGCTACGGCGGGGTTAGTGACCCTGGGCTATTTGAGATGTTCAAAGCATGCCTTTAAAAACTGTTCAAAACCCAACCTGTTTAACTATTTTGAGTTGGCTTTAACAGAGATTGCAAAAGTACTGGGTTTTACAGGACTCTGAAGCGTTCTTTCGCTCTCCCCAGTCACCCTGTGGTTTCAATTTTGGTCGTTTCCGTGTAGGGCGTTTTTCTCTCCATCGCTTTGCAACACAGAGCTCCGGCGGCAGTCCAGAGATCATCTTTCTGGTTGGCACGCCACATCCAAGACATCACATAGCTCATCACCCGATCTTCGCGGCAGGCATGAGCTTTCTTTGTATGAAGGCGTCGACAGGATAATGTACTTCTTTAGAAGCTTCTATTGCCCATCGAGCATTTGAGTGCCACTGCGTTTGGCTTGAACTTTTTTGGGCCGAGAAATCTTCTTTACAAACTGCATGTCCTTGTGGACCACACTAGCGTGTGCAATACCCAAATTTTTGGCCACATTGAACCAAGACTTTTCACCAGACGCGCGCGCGCGCCCCAAAACCCCACGCCAGTAGCCCCCCACCCACCCACCCACCCACCCACCCACCGCCCCAACGATCGCCGATCTCGCCGCATCGAAAATCGATCTCGAAAATAGTGCTATTTTCTCTGGGGTCGCAAACAACGCCGTTGGCCTAAACAAGGGAATTTGCCAAACGTAATGTAACATGAACAGTGTACGTGTAACCCCAAAACACCAGTCATTCCCAAACGGTGTTGGTCTGGTCTTTTCCTCTACAGCTCCGTTACTGTGGTCTGTCTCTCATCTTGTGAAGTCCTTTCCTGGCCTGTTGGCCTTCTGGAGGAAAAACAGCTGGCTTCTTGGTGTTTTTGTCTGGTGATCTTGGAGATCCTTTTGGGGACACCACCGTTTCACTCAATTGTGAAAGCATGAAAACCTAAAGCAATACGTGTTCATCCCTTACACGAATGGGTCATCGATGGGCCGCTGAAATGCACCGATGCCAAGTGGCCAGGGAATTCGACTCAAACTCTTTGCGCTGCCGTCGCAATTCCGTGTTGTGCTCGTCCTGGAGGAGCACCAGGAACATGAAGCAGCATAGAACATGGTAGAAAGGCCAAGAATTCCAATGAGGCACTACAATGCTACAAGTTTAAAGATCCAATACTTCTAGTACTAAGTCCATTACAGTCTAATTATTCTGTTACAATGGTCCGAAATCGCCAAATAGACTCTAGACTCATCACTCTCTGCGGTCCAACTGAGAGTTTTCAGAAGAGTGTCAACAAGAATGCCTGACATTCTAAGAGGCTGGTTGGATCTGAATCCCTTCATATGGAATCAGACTGACCGATTCACCACCAAAGTTCCCACACCACAGGACTGAAAACGTGGAAAATTCCGCACATCCAGCGAAGGATCCCTCCCTGGTTCTTGATTGGGAAGTCTTTTGAATGGTGCCAAACTTGGAGACCCAATTGCAAGCCCGTATACTTTGTCTGTCTGGTCCGTACCGGAATGAGCCATATAGTTCCTTTATAGACGTCTTTATTACTAGTAACAAGTGCCTTACTAGTAGTAACAAGAAGCTATTAGAAACAAGTGCATCGCTACTAGTAACAAGTGCATCGCTACTAGTAACCAAGAAAAGCCCAAAGTTCGGTCCAAGCAGTTTGCATTCCCAGCATTGGCACGAAGGCGATTGGTCAGTGGTTTCCCCACCCAACACGGAGCATCAAGAAAAGTGCGGGCTGGTTTCAACTCACGAAACATATTGCAGTAGTCAGTGGTTTCATGTGGTTTCACTCTCAAGTAAAGGTTAACCAAAAGAAAAACATATGAAAACATAACATATTTGAAGCCCCACACCCCCGAAAGCCCGAAAGCCGTGCCACTCTCTGGAGCTCCGCGCCACACACCGCTGGAGTTCGCTGGACAAGGGCGGCGCTGTGCGAGGGACGCCCGAGACTCGGCGACCCTGGCACAGCTGACCTCGGCAGCTGACCTCCATCGCTACTAAGGGTGGAGGCCATTGCTATTGGTAACAAGAAGCTATTAGGGGCTCCTGGCCATACTACCAGGAGCAAGAAGCTACTAGGAACAAGTGCATCGCTTCTAGTAACAAGTGCCTTACTAGTAGTAACAAGAAGCTACTAGGAGCAAGAAGCTACGAACGGGGCTCCTGGCATCGTTACGAACGGAGCGATCGGACGCTATACTAATAGCTATTCGGTGGCAGGCACAGCTGACCAAGACGAAAGGCGGTCCAACGGTGCACGGTCGAAGGTACGCGGAAGAAGTGATGGGTGAAAGGAGGAAGTGATGGCAATGCTCTCTGCTTTGAATCGCATGTTCCAGTTTGGTTGGACCTATTGGACCTGTGAGAGTGTGATATGAAAACAAATCTAATGAGTCGATCCACTAACGGAACATGGACGAATTTACTGAGATCCATTGATTGATGGCGATTTCCCAAAAGGCTTCAAGGACTTGACTAAAACTACATTCAATGAGTCTTGGCTGCTCGTTCTATCTCAGCTTCTCCACACTTCGTCTGCTGTCCACGTTCACTGGTCTAAGCCAAGGGAAAAAAACACAAAAAACAACCATTTGGCAACTATTGGTTGCTGGTCTGTCCACAAACATCATCTGTCCTGGCTTCCCCAAATGGCATCAAGTCCGGACGGCGCCTGGGTCATGATCGCACCGCCGGTAGAGCACCAAGTATGCCTAGGGATCGTGTCGTGACTCCGGTATGGGCGAACGCTTGAGGTCGTGTGGGCGAACGGAAAAACGACCAGTTTGGTGATCTAAAGTTGGGCCAATCTGAAAGTGAAGAGATGAGACTACTATGGAATCTATATGTGAATGAATGTGGGTGTGGGTCATTACCCAACAAAGGCCCCTGCTTTTGGTGAAAACATGCCGGTGCGCTGCGTTTGTGTGTGCTTTTCGGGAAGACCGAAATACAATGAAATACCACAGCATACCATCTCATGCAGCCCAAGTACGGTGGCAGACTCAATTCTTTCAGGATCTGAAGCCTCAGGACACGACATGGACGACATCAGGTCCTTTGCATCGTGGTCTCACACGTGTGTCTCTCACACCATGGTCTCACCTTCACTCTTTGAAAACGTATTCTGTATACAGAGTCTTCTCCGCACCGAAGCCCCTAGTAGCGTCCTTGCTCCTAGTCTTCTCCGCATGGATTCGGTGGAAATCTGGACGAACAAAAGGACACATCGAACAATTGGACGCTTGGATAACGTTGGACGCTTGGACAAATTGAAGCCTCAAATTGGTCAAAGGCCCTTCTGAAAGCTTTCGGGCGACCCAACTTGAGGCGGAGCAGCACTTGAGCTGCTCGTTCCTCACGCAAGGTCAGGATTTCAGGATCCCCTGCCTGCCCCCCACAACAAACATCTGAAGACCTTGCTTGGTACCAACTCAATCCAGCTCATGCCACAGCCAATACAGTAATTAGATTGAACACCTCTCCAGGTTTTCAACAATTCAACGCTCCGTGCCTTCTGCAGCTTTGGGAGCACCAGCTCCACTAGCTTCACTCTCCACGCTTTCAACTGGTGTCACCGACTCATCATCAAGGCGCCACCTGGCACTTACCACGTCGCGACAAGCATTTGCAAGTTGGTCAGTGGAGGGATGGTAACCCCCTCCATTGACTGCTAACCCTTCCACCCCCCACCAGCTGCGTTTCTGTGGTGCTCCGGCTGCCGCCTCGGCGAAAGAAAACAAACAGCGTCCAACGATTTTGAGTCTGTAAGGATAACTATGCTTGCCAAACCTCACGACTGAGGTATTCGATCCAGCCATGCAAAATTGAAAACGCATCTCATTCAATCACAAAATCAACTTGGAGAGGCAGCTGGCCTGGTCTTGTGATCTGTTGGCGTAGACAGGCCGCAAATTGATCCGCCAAAAGCATACTAAATAATACATCTAAAATATGGAACATGGGACCACTATGGACCACTCTCAGGCAGCCACATCGGGGTCATCCACTTTGGGCCGCTTCAGCGCAGGCTCCTTGACTTCGTCCCCTGAGCGACAAGCGAGTTGGTCGGGACTAATAAACCGGGCCGCCCTTTTGGGGGGACCAACAAGGTATCTGGGATAGAAGAGGACTACGGACCTAACCATAGTTCTTGAACCTATTTTTTGTAGATATGCATGTACGTATATATTGTGTAGAATATGTTGCATTACAACTTGTGTACTTCACCAGTGTGTGAAAAGAACTTTGTAGTGTCAATGAGTCAATGCCACCAACTCGAGATCTCACAGATTCAAATATCCTATCATCCTGCGGCCAAACAAGAGCACATCAATGCACAAGGCCTACCAGGCCTGCCACTGCTGACACATAGGGCTCCTTCAAGCAAGTTGAAGCAAGATTCAGTCCATAAGCAATCAACATAAGCGTGGGTTTAAAACCCAAGAACAATGCTTTAGAAGCAACAACAAGGACATGCATAAAACAAGAGCAGGTAGACTACGACTGAAACTTGAAAACTGTTCCGTCCCAACTGTGGCGCCTCCTCCTCGCGCAGCAGTGTCGCGCGGTAGTGGCCTCGCAGGATCGTGTCGTTGGTCCAAGGTTCTTTGGAGCCAGAAAACCCGCAGGTGTTCTCAGGAAGAAGTCAGACCTTTCATGACCTTTCCACTCAAGAAAATGTGGACATCTCAATGATTGAACATTCTGTTTAGTTTTCATCGTGGGGATGTCCGACTGTCCAAATTTTCCTGGATGACCAGTTCATCCGCAAGAGCCTTAGCAGTCATTTTCAGTCCAGCTGCACAAATGACAACTGGATTAAGACTCCAGGTGCAAATGTGCAAGATAGCTTCTAGAAAGTGTTCATTTCTGTCACATTAAGGTGGTTCATTTCATGCCATGGAATTGATCACTTTCACACCAGACTTCCACACCTCTCACCGGCCTCTGATACTAACGTGAGGCTCCCGACCACTGTGCGCAGAGTCCGAGACGTGCTCCAAGTAACCAATGCACTCATAGGCCACAGGAAGCATCGCCTCAGAAGACGAGTCACCAGTCTTCGCCAGTTTTGGCCCAGCTTCGCGGTCGGGCGAAAAAGCTGGTCGGTTCTTCGCCCAGCTGGCCGGGAGCAAGCGCCTGACCGAGTTGAGGGGCCTCACCTCTGTGATTGGATTGTTTTTCATTCGGAACATGAAAACACACCTGCGGCTGAGCGGCAGCATGGTGGATGGCATGGCATGGGCTGGGGGTTCAGTCCACAAAAAACCATTCAACACAAGAAAAGTTGGGAGTTTGCCTTCGCCACATTTCTGAGGCCCTGGCAGTTTCACTGCTCGTCGCCTGGCAGTTTCACTGACGGGCGGCAAGGGAAGCATCCAACGCGAGGGTCGTGACGAGGAAAATCACTCAACCAAATCATCCTTCCCAACGGATCTCACATGTGCTCAAAAGAAAACAAGTCATTTGTATGAAAATCATTATTTGGCAGCTTCCACCATCTGTTTACATCCTGCTTGTTTAAGAACGCTACTAGGGGCTTCTCGCATCTCTACTAGGAGCAAGGACGCTACTAGGGGCTCCTGGCCGTACTACTAGGAGCATTCTTGCTAGTAGTAACAAGAAGCTACTAGGGGCTGCTTGTTTTTGTTGGCTCCATGCAGTTCCCCAGCCGACTTGTCAGCCGCGTCCCCGGCTCCGCGTGCTCCGCGCTTGGCCGCCTCCGGTCGCTGCGAGGCCAACGCGCCGCCCAGCCGCAGCTCCAAGCGGCGCCTGCGGTCTCGTTAGGTGGGTCACCGGGTTGCCCGGGGCCTGCTGTGCCAAACACGCGAAGTTGATTTGGAATTGTTCTACCCATATTGGAACAAGAAGCTGCTGGTAGCTAGAAGCTACTAGGTGGAGGCCATCGCTAGTCGGTTGGAGGCCGTTACTACTAGTAACAAGAAGATAATATAGTTATATATATATAGTATAGTATACCAGAACCCTCAAACAGGTCACCAATTGTGACCTGTTAGGTCCCAACAAGCCTCATCTAAATGACTTGTTGGAGGGTATATATTTCTAAGTTTGTTGCTATTACTATTACTATCATTACTACTATATATGTTTATTATGATTATTGTTATAGAGAGACTAGAGAGATATTGAGTCGGAAAACGGAACATAAGGTCATAGATCAGTCATCAGTTCTTAATGGATTGCAAAAGATCTCAGGTTGGGGTTCCAATCTGGGTATAATAATCAAATTGGATAGTAAATGTTGACATACGATAATACACTCCAATACCCGCTCAGTATCCCATGAGACCTAATGGACAGAACTCAATACATGTGACAATTCAATACAATTCATGTGGTTTTCTCCAAATCATAACTCAGGGTCAAGGTACCTCAGGGTTACTTCTTGGGCTACTTTCTACATCTTTCTACCCCACGCTAAACGGTTTGCCCAACATCGGCTGGTCCGGCGTTCAGCGCTCCCAGGTCCGGTCGATCCCTCTAAGGCCCCCGGGCGGGAAGGACACTGGGTGGGCGAGGCGTTTCCTTTGCGCTGTTTCAGCCTCGAAGTGGTACCTCCCCGTGTGCCACGTGTGGCGTGGGCAAGTTCAATCCCTTTGGGACCCCAAACAGATGTGTATATAAGTCTGCCGTCTGCCATCGATGTGTCGATGTGTCCATGATATTCGGGTTGAAGTAAGTGCCGAAACTCGGTGAACCACGTGAACCATTGACAATAGCTTGTAAAACCCTTGTAAGCTCAATGTTCATGGGCACAATGCCTCATAGCTGGGGCCTTTCTGGTTTACATGTTTGCCTTGTTCCTAGTGTAAGTACATTGTATGTACCATTTAGAATTCTGCTGACCAATCCTTCACGCGTGGACTCGATCAGAAGCAGTTTTCGGGTAGCACCTCTCCACCGTGACGTGCAAGTATGGCGGCAGCTTTGACAACCTCGTGGTTCTTTTCGCATCCACCTGCATCAACACAGGTTACGGCTGAAAACAGCGGGGATCAAAACAAGGGTGAGAGATTGGACACAGAATTAACAAACAGTTTGATGTTATATGATCTAACATATTTAGAAATAATCTGGTAGATGTTGGTAGGTGTTTCTCATTGCGTTTGACTTACTCCATGACTTTCCATGTCCATTGGTAGCTATGTGAAGCACAACTGGGCTCACCCGTTCGGCCACGTGAAGCGGCACCTTTCGGTCACAGCGCGGGCAAAGCCACTGGTTGGAGCCGTCCAGGACCTGTCGCAGTCGTCTCAGAATCGCAGTTGTCTTGTGCAGGGTTTCGGGTCTTTTGGGGGACGGATGAGTTGAGACGAGATCCATAGCAGAATCCGATCACAAGGAGTCAAAACAGTTAAAAGTGCGTCAAAGTCAAATGCCCAGTGTCTGAGTTCGAGCTTTGGATATATTTCATGAGAGTTTTTGCCCTCCTAGTTGATGGAAGAATGGCAAGAAGTACCCAAAGCTAGCGGAATACCACTGAACATGAGCTTGGGCGTGATGCAAAGATCGGGATCCCTGGTCCTTTCATTGCAGGATGCCAAACAAACGTGCCAAGGGTGGTTGTCACGTGGCTTTTGGACGGCCCTATGTCCAAAGAAAAGGACCTCTTGAAAAGGATGAGGAGAAGAGTTGCACACATGCATAAAGATGTTCATCCCTCAACAAAATGGCCAAAATGTTGTGTTCTGCCCTTTAAAACCCAGTCTCTTGATGTCTCTCGCGACAATTTGGCAGCACAGGCGCCTCTTCCGGAAAAGCGGTCTCCTGCCGAGACTGAGTAAATTCACACACACCCGCTGAGGCTGTGACGAGTGACATCTGTCATAGGGAAGTTGTAATCTGCAATGTCATCTAAAACCCCACGGTTCTCCAATACGGACTGTTTGTGGAACCTATATCTAAAGCCTATAGGTGGAACCTGGATGTTCAACCCTGCAAGTAAGTGTCAATTGTCATGAAAGATCGTCGTGATCCAAAAGGTTGTAGCAAAGTATTAGGAGCTGCAGTGCAGCTAATCCCCGTTTTTGAACACAACTCACGTGGTGTGCCTCCAGAATTTGCTCAAGTCGGATCGTCGGCAGCTTCTTGTTCGACTGGAACGAGCAGTTGTGCGGCCATGTTGACATCAAACAATCCCTTGCCATTGGAAAAATAGCGGTGGCCAACTGAAACACGACAATCCTCTTCACTGAAAATACGATACCCACAGGCATCCAAAGAAAGCCATGGTCTCAAGTCTCTGGATCATCCTGCCTTTTTGGCACCAGGCTTTGTCTTTGGCCCGGATTTTCGCCCTGTGGCCTGGGGTGTGATGCTCCGAATCGGTGAGGCTGGATTTTTGCGAACCCAGTGCAATTCATAGCACAGCAGTAGTTTGGAGGATAAATCCGAGTTTCTCCCAAAGAAAATGTATCAAGCACAAACATCCAGCAATACAGGCTTATAGGTCTCCCATGTCACAGAATTTCACGGCAGGAAAACCGGCCAAGCCCATCCAGCTTATGACCTAGTAGTAACAGGTGCCTTACTAGTAGTAACAGGTGCCTTACTAGTAGTAACAAGAAGCTATTAAAAACAATAAGCTACTAGGAACAAGTGCCTTACTAGTAGTTATTTGTCCTGACCAGTGGAACTCCACACCGCCGCACTGCCAAGAACCAGCGTTGGCACACGGGGATCATCACTGGTGGTCCTCCCTAACGCGCTTTGTGGAGAGCGCCTCTTTGGCTTCCAATGCCACAGCCACCTGAGATCGGGGGAGGGCTTGAGCTGTTCAACTGAACCTATTCAAAGGGACACGCCACAATACTGATGCTGAACATATTTGAATATATATATAGATAAAAGCTGCTACTAAACAACCCACAGTGCAGTTTGGAAGCAAAATGAAGCAAGGTCATGATTCGTCCTACCCATGTGGTGATGTGCAGCTTTCAACTCCTCATGCTTGGTGATGCGGGATGGCATGGCCAGGAACTCTGCCCCAGACTCCACGTGAAGTTGGTGAGCTGGTGGGAAAAAACACACATCCTGGACACCCTATGTTGACCTACGTTGATATACTATGATATACTTTCCGCACCAAAATCGCCTTGCCCCGCCATGCGCTTGAAGTACGAAGTGGAACAAATGTTTAAGTTGTTGTTTGACGTCCCCTCAATCCCTGTTCCAAAAAACTGAAAGGATTGCCTCCATTTTTGCTGGATCGAACAATCACCCGAATCACCTCACTCCCAGATCAGCTGTTTCTGAGACCAGCACTGGAGAGAGACCAGCTCGAAGTTCCATGAAGGATTCCGGCTTCTCCGAGAAGTGGCTGGGATCCTTTGGGAATCAAAGGATCCAGATTGATCGAGATCTGCGAAAAAAGAAATGGTTCCTCCTTCGAAATGCCAAAACCACTAGAGCTCATGTCCACTGAGTTCGACGTTTCGGAGGGTCCCGGATGCATCCCATCTGGGCGTCCTTTTTCTTCGGCGGTGGCCGGTTGAGTGGCGGTTGAGTCGATCGATGTGGATCGAAGAGATTCGTCGAACAGTGGGCCAAAGTCAGAGCACACCTCCAGGGTTTATATAACAGTAATATGTTAAGAAAACCGATACAGCTTCAAATGTCTGGAGGGCATTGAAAGGCAAAGAAAATCAAAGAGGTATGAGAGGCTCTTGATGTCAGGCTGACAAATGAAATGAGTTATGATGATATTACTAAATATAACATTCAAGCAGCAAAGTTCTCTCAAGCCCGCAAAGGTCTTCGCAAACTCATTGAAACCACACACATACCCATGCCGATCTCTAACTCGATTCAAGATCTCTCTGCACTTTGTTTTCCTCTTCATCTTCGTCTCCTGACTGCATTGCACAATCGTGGAGCTCTGTCCCTCGAAGAGTGCCGGAATGAACTCCGCACCTCCGCCTGAGAGCGTGTCGCGTGTGTCGTGTGACGTGCGAGTGCGACACGAAGAGGTTCCAGTCTTTTGTTGATTGTTTGTTTGTTTGATTGGTTGCTTTTGTATTTGATCATGTGTTTGTTTGTTTGTTTGTTTGCTTCTTTGTTTCTTTGTTTGTTTGTTTGTCTGTTTGTTTGTTTGTTTGTTTTTTTGTTTGTTTGTTTGCTTGCTTGTTTGTTTGTTTGTTTGTTATTGTTTGTTGTTTATTTGCTTGGTGTTTGTTCCTTTTGTGTTTGTTGGTTGTGGTTGTGGTTGTGGCTGTGGTTGTGGCTCTGGCTGTTGTTGTTGCTGTTGGTGTTGGTGTTGCTGTTGGTGTTGGTGTTGTTGTTGCTGTTGCTGTTGTTGTTGGTGTTGTTGTTGTTGGTGGTGGTGTTGTTGGTGTTGTTTGTGTTGCTGTTATTGTTGTTGTTGTTGGTTGTTTGTTGTTTGTTGCTTGTTATTGTTTGTGTTGTTTTATTGTTGCTTGGTGTTTGGTGTTTGTTGGCTGTTGGTTGTGGTTGTGGTTGTTTTTGCTGTCTGTCTGTCTGTCTGTCTGTCTGTCTGTCTGTCTGTCTGTCTGTCTGTCTGTCTGTCTGTCTGTCTGTCTGTCTGTCTGT